CAACCTGATCTATAATATTTGATTATCTGTAGAAGACTATCATCTGATGTGAAGTTATGTTGCACTACATAAATGAACGGGTTCATATGGAAGTCATATTTTTATTACTATGTCCATATTTTCATTTTTTGAACTCTGTATCAACAAAAAGGAGTGGATATGGCTACTACTACTTTCACAAGTAATACGAAATTTATTTATGCACGCTTTGGAAACAAGTGCAATCGTGAAATATGCTTCCACCTGAGATTCGGTTACGATATGTTGATATTTTTGTTATCAGATGAGACTAATCTAAAAAAATCGACAAGTTAATACTACATCGGGTAGCATAAGACTGCCTAAATAACCCGAATTTGTGAACTGTAAACTAAACTTCCCCGATTGAAGAGAAAAAACAACAGTGCAAGCGTTAGCAATATTACTAGTCATCACACCGTCTTTCATGATTGCTAGAAACTTAGTAAACGGTGATATTAAGCTTGGTAATGAGATAGAAGACATAAAAACTGGATTACATTTGATCCTATTTACACTTGGGAAAAATAATTATCCTAAGAAATCCCATAAACATATTTAAAAAAAGAAAGAAAACTAAATCAGAGCGTTTACTAAAAGGACGAAAAAAACAATGATCACCCCATATTGTGAATAAAGTTCGAAATAAATATGATATAAAAGTTTATTTTTGAGCTAGTGATAACATTAAATCAACATTAGTGAAGTAAAGGATAAGATACCAAAAGAAGAACAAGTTAGGTGTTATGAGTGTAATTCAGTATATGTAAGAGAGACATCTAGGTAGTGAGATGGTGAAGATTTGTAGCTCAGGTGGATGATTTCGACCTGTCAACAAGAACCATTCAACATTGAGGCCTACAGGTCAAGCTGCGAACCACATGTTGAGAAATTCGAACACTTCACTTCTACCTGAAGTTTGTGCTGATGATATCGTTCAGAAGAACGACGAAAGCTCCACGACCAAACCATCCAGCTTAGAGAACAAAACTCCATCAAAATCTAGATAGTTCAATATCAGGGTGGGAGAACACAAATAATGTTTGTAACATTCTCCTACATCCCCAGAACTCAAGAAGCCTAATAAAAGTTTAGAAATAGTACTACACTCAGAAGCAAAATCAAATTTCAAGGGACAAAAATTCTTTACGACGGTTTAGGTGCTGAATCAGAATAATTGTCTACTCCACGGTAAATGTTGACCAACAAATAAATACATTGAACTTAGTATCCACCTCGCCTATACTAATTGAAGCATGATCCCGATAAAAACGAGCGCTTATTCAGTTATTTTTGAATTTATCCATGATAAACCTCAATTTAACAACACGGTTATATATTTGACTGGACCGATTCTACAGATACTTCAATAAGATTTTTATACTCATACTTACTATTAGTTTAAAAAAAACAAACGATTAAAATATCCTTAGTCATATTTTCTAATATCAACAGAATACAGCACACATACACTCAAGCACTTTTCACATCAAATGTTCTTTTGAAGTCACTACGCAAAATAAACATGTGAACTTGATTGGATAAACTTTTGACTTTGTTTTAAAACTATATATATATCCTTTGACGTTGATTTCGATTATTTTCTTGTAGAAGTTCGAACTTGTTTGCCAATTGGAAGGTTGGGACCGTTTAATTTTCAGTCACCGATGTTACTTCAAATATAATCTTTAAATATGTCTACTATGTCCATGGTTTATAAAATTATATCTGATTGTTATTTTAATAAAATCTCAAAAATAAAATGTTTTATAAGGCATGAGCATTATCTGAGAAATATTTTAGCGACTATACATTATAGTCAGTCAAATTGTTTAAAATTGAAATAATCAACTTTTGTGCAATTTCTTTAAACAGTGCATGCAATGTTGAATTCCATAAGTCACATTTCAAGATAAGATTATTTGTTCTTACATCAAACTAATCGTGTAGATTTTAAACTTAATGTACAAACAAGTGCTACAGAGCTTTCATATGAAGATGTTGAAGAGTTATTTTTGAGTTAGTGTATTTAGTTCAGTCCTTTTACATATAAAGGTAATCATGGTTCTATCATATTGTTAAATTCCTAAACTAGATAATGACTATATTCAATAAAATTTATATCAGATTCGGAAGAATTGTTGTTCAAGTGTAATTGCTTTATTTAGAATCGAGTTTTATGGTAAAATAAAATTCATTAAATAACATTTGTTAATTGTTTATTATAAAACCGTGTCTCCTTTAGCAAAGAACTTTACAAATTCTTTTTAAACTGTATGGTGAGCACATAGAACTCACTTTTGTTGATATCTAAATTACAGATAATTATCGTTCAAGTAAACTTACACACATACACACAAATAAATATGAACGTGTTTCATGACCGGGACGGATTAAATCTGGTCAGATTAAATCCTTATATATGTATATATATAAGTTTATGTTAATCTTCGTACTTCTTCATATTCACAAACAAAAAACAACAACAAAAAAAATGCACCAAAATATCAAACTAACTATCCTTTAGGGAATAATGAATCAACAAAAATGAAGAGATTAATTATTTCCCTTTCTGTCGTAAATCATTCATAAATATGATGAATTATAGTGTATTGTAATTTTACTGTAATAATTCAGTTATCATTTACCAAATTTTTCGAGTTAAATATTTAAAAGAAAAAACACACAAATAACAGAAATATTCTTCGTAGCAAGTAGATTACATTGAAGCAAAAAATAAAACAAACTATAAATCAAGGAATGCTTATTTGACTAAACCTAGAGTTTAAAGTATTAAATTGTACAAAAGGTAACTATTAAAATTGTATTAAAAGATTTCCATTTGATTATTTGACAGATTTTAGTGTCTGTTTTAAATAAGCTGGATTTTGGGTAATAAAAAAATATATGACTAACAATGTTACGTAAACTGTAAACGCGGTTTAGTGAACCAATAACAAGTATAATATATCAGAAGGGGTTTTGTGGATATTATAGCAATTTTAATGGTTGAGATCATGAGTCAATTGAAGCTAGACCACCGTGGAAAACCTGGACGGCCGTTTCGTCCTATTATGGGACTCCTGGATTCGAATCTCGAGAGGGGGGATCGTGGATGTGCACTGCTGAGGAGTTCCACAATAGGACGAGATGGCCGTCCAGTGCTCCTAGGTTTTCCACGGTGACCTAGCTTCAATTGACTCATGATCTCAACCATTATAAAATTATACTTTAAATAAATTATATTTACAATGATTTGTAGAAATAATAGAAACTGTGATGAATTATTTATATTGATCGAAGAACATTGTTGCGAATCTCTGGATCTAGCTTTATTGTTGACTAACACTCATTAACAAACCGTGGTGGAAACCTTGAGGAAATTGACTTATCTACTGAAGATTCAGTCTGAACCACAGTTAGGTGTTGCCTTCAAAACATCGAGCGGATCAATAATCTGTATTTTCAAATTCACTAACTTTAAACCATACAAGTCAATAAACAACTATCCTTTTTATACGAATATTCGTCAAGATTAGAACGAATAGTTTGGCAGAAATTGGGCGCCGAGTATAGAGAAGTCATCATATGTGAAAATTATATTTGAATAATCTCAGCGATTGACATGTGAAATAAAACAATAGGAATTATTGGGAATAAAATCGTTTTATTACCATAATCGTTTAATGTACTCATAAATTTCAATCGCTGAGATTATTCAAATATGATTTTCACATATAATAACTATCCTTTTTATCAAGTATTTCGCTGTCATTTACACTTTGAGGTGTGCTTGTTATACAAATGTAGCGATAAGAACTATCTATCTATTTTTATCCACATTTATATGGGAGAAGGGGTTTAAATCATTTATCTTCATAATTATTCAATTTGTATTTCTTTCTCATTACAGTAATCATATTTATAGACTGTTTCTACTGCTTTTAACAACGAGCATTACATGATATTTTCTTGTTAGCTTTAATTATAGTAATTTTGACTGCCAGTTAGAACTCAAATCTGCGATCTGCTAATCGCTATTTTCGGGGCTGTTCAACGATATTGTATTACATAACCACAGATCGAAATACAGCTGCATTTTTCATTTATTGAATTGTAGTAGTTAACAATTGTGTAATTGTTATGAGTTTCTAAACAGTCAGTCATAGTCAGCAGGTATGTATATACATTGATCCGATTTACCACGACACAGCACCGCAGCGACATAAAACCGACAAAAGGGATTTGGAATATTAGTAGTATCGATGATAGCACATTTAGACACAGAAAATACGGCTGAAAAGGAGGGATGAAATAAGTCGATAGAATTCAAGAAAGTATGCTAAAACTCAAGATTTAAGAGAACATATGAGCCAGTGTGAATGATTTGGACCAATTATTATATAAAGTTCCGAATTATTGATCACAATCATCATGCAGATTCAAAACGTTTTTAAAATAGTTGACTTATTAAAAATCAGAAACGGAAAATTGCTGCTACCTCAATGTTTTCTATAGATCTCTCAATACTGAAGATATGAGATTAGTATGTGTAGAAATAAAAGGATTGTTTTAAGAATAAAACAGCAGGAATTATTGGGAATTAAATCGTTTTATTACCATAATCGTTCAATGTACTCATAAACTTATTCACGGCTAAATGCATTTGGAACTGTAGTGTTTTTATGCTTACACAGTTTTCTTTTCTATATTTTATTCCGGGAAACTTCATCCTCTAACTGGTCAATTTACTCAAATCAGTTAACTTCTAAGTTTTGTATAGGTACAGCTGAGTAACAAATTAAAAAAGGGAAACAAAAAAAAATTACAAAAGTTTATATACAATTGAACACTATATACATGATGATAAAAGAAAATAATGGACTGAAAAATTCATCACTGAAATGGTATTGAGGATCCTAATTTAGAGTTCATAGCCATAAAAGTCATGGAAGTTTATCATTAGTAACTGCCAAAATGAATTATGATGTGTCCATGTAACGTCGATTCAAAGACATGACTGTAAAGAAAAGATCAAGAAACCAGAAAAAATTAAACTTTTAATAAAAAGCATGGCATTTCGAGTTACAGTAATGCAAAAAATAAGCAGTGAGACAGCCCTACTTACACTATATAGCTCATTCAACGCTCAGCAATGCTAAAGACAATTTCCCATCAGAACTAACTTCAATTTTCAACCCAGCTGCTTGGGGATAAATATAAAACTAGTTCGATACTAGTTGATAGATGTTGTTATCTTGTTAGTTTTTAAATCGCGGTCCGCACGATTATCGTAACCGATAGTCCGAAATTATTTGAAATGGCGTAGGTGCATCCATTCTTTGTCTTCCGCCAAATTCTGGGCATCTGAATTCCTCACATTTTATATGCTTTTATTTCATTAATTTATACTTTCTTGGGTCGTATCTTCGATCTCCAGTATTTTCAATTACCACTTGTACTGTTACTAACTCTACTATTCCGGGATTTGGCCTGTAAGTTTTATGTTTGTGCTGATGGGATACGGCAACTTGAACTGATGTACCTACGTACCATAATAACTGAATAAAACAATAACTGACCATTAAAATTAGTATGTCAACGCGTAGCTGCGATTAGTATAAGTCATAACCAAATGATTATGTGTACACAGCTAAGATGCTCATCATTCCTGGTTCGGTAAATGATTGCTGTATACAGAATTTCGAAGCACTTCCTATGAAAGCACAATCTCCCTCTTTTGTTTGCTGAAGTAGGAAGTTTACACGTTCACGGGACGACGTACTAAAATATCTGAATTCATCTTTGAATTTGTCGCAAGCGGAACACTTGTATGATCAAAAAACAGCCATTGAGAAATTAGTGTAAACAACTCACTAGAATAAGTGAGGTCAAGATCATTAAAGTATGGAACAATGAGGTGTATAGAGCTAACTGACGATAAGTTACCAAAGAACCAATATTACCATAAATGTTTTTCTCATGCATTGACTGGGAATTATTACCTTCCTAAAAAAAGTGCTATAAGAGCTAATATTGTTTATGGAGCAGATTTCATGCCATCGAAAGCATGACGCTAAAAAATGGCCAACTCTTAAAATACTTGTATTACTACATTCATATCCTAAGCCACAAATACTGTGCATAGAGTATTGTTGATTAAAAATAACTAGTGTATTTTGAGGGAAAAAACTAAATAATACTGGTTTAGAAAGATCTATCTATAGAAAGCATGTTGCTTCATAACAATTTACTGAAATTCTTCAACTAAACTCCCAAAATGTAGATTTTCACCACACTATTGTAAAAACTTTTGATATTATACCAGGTATGAATCAATTAAAGTAGGTCATTAGGTAACTTAGAACCTTGCACAAACGCATAATATCAGGTACGTTGTTTAAAGCGAATGACAAATGTTGAACAGATGATTCTATTTAATATTTGACCAAACTAAGAAGCAAAAAGATTCGTTAAAAAACTTACCACTGGATACTGTAGGGCCCACGGGAAGTGTTCGTAAGCCAGTGCTGGTATCTACACTGGACAATTGAGCAACATTTTGGACAGTTTGAACACGAATCATAGAAGGTCCCATTCCAGGAGCGGCAATAACATGAACAGATGGTCCCATAGGATTACCAACAGTAATTGGTCTGGTTGAAGGATTAATAGCTCTAAATATATTTTTGGTAGGATTAACGGGGTTGGATATATGAAGTGTCATCGAAGAATCCCCAGCGAGTTCAGATGAAGGATTCTATCGAATCAGAAATGAAAAATAGATGAAATAGGAACGCTTACTAATATATTTTCTTTATTTCAAACACAGCTTCAATGAATGGGTAAATATTTCATCACACCTAAGAATAAAATGGACCATTCACACGGTCAGGAAGTCATAAAAAAGAATAAATTACAATGTACTGAGTGACTTTTCTACTTATTTAAAAATAAATCAAGTTTAATTCTGGTACTGTTTTAAGGTCTCCCTAAAATTTAAGTTATATTTACAGATGACAGTAATAGTACTTCACCGAAACCTAAGTGGTAAAACCAATACATTGAGGTCACCAATAGAAAAGAGCTTTTCCATTTTCATGACTTTAATGTCCAAATAGCATAACTATACAGCCTGATAGTATATCTACACATAGCACAAGCAAGTGGATTGTATGCATACCATTGGTGACATTTACTCTTTAATGAAGTTATAAAAACATTCGAAACACTAAAATTTGAAACAAAAGGATTTAGTGGACCATATTTGAATAATATCATCGCCTTGCACCATGTGATCAGTCAAATAATAGTCACAAAGAAAATCGTTATTTTCCACAGGCCCCTGGAAGGAACGTCCGCGATATTGCAAACACACCATCTCCGTTACTCATAGCTGCGTAAGTAATTATCACATCCAATAAAGGTGTTACACAGTAAGGGGAGTCAAGAGTTTACAATGTTGATTGAGTTACTAAGCATTTAAGTTTTGGGGAGTAGCAAACGAAATCCTATTTCACAACACATTCTATGAGCTCATACATAATCGTTTATCGACGATCTTGAAAAATGTGAAAATATACGTTTATAGTATTTATAATACTTTAGATAGTTGTTTAAGCTGATTCCGATTGGTGAATATAATAATATAAGGAGTAAATGACTAGGACTACAACTCCCATATTCAGACCTAGCGATACTTGTCTGCTTCTAATAATAAATGGAAAAAGTTTCGATCCCGTGATCCACTTGGTTGATAATCAAACGAAGTGAAGAAACCTTTCTTTGTAGCAAGCTATATGAACAAAGATGAATACAAAAGCCTAAATATTATATATATATATATATTGGATCTTACTGTTTTTGCGTTGTCTGCACATGATAAAAGTGAATAATTTGGAGCTGTGAGTGTGAAGCGTTCAGCGGGTAGACGAATGCCACAATGAGGACGAACAGCTGGTAGTGGCTGTTCATTTTTCTCAGCATAAGCTAGTAACTGATCTCTATATGGGGGTGCGAACATAAGTCCATCTGTGACTGAATTGATGGCTAGTTGTACGTCATCTTCCTCAATTTTCGGTCGACCAGCATGATGAGAAACAGCCTTTGCCTCTTCGATGACATCACATGTGTGTCCTACCGTATAAAGTCAAACTTTAAAACAAAACATACTATACAAAACGTCCAAAACTCGTGTACATATTTCATCCGAAACTTCCGAGACGTTAAACTCCGAAAATATCTCTCTAACAGCAGCTAAAGACGGAGGTAATACTTCATTGATATCTGTAGGATTTTTGTGTTCTGTCATTGATTTCTGTACTCCACACTACACCACGTAAAAATATTTGAAAAAAAGTTACTAAGATTACTCTATCGTTCGCATCAATTTGATGGGATTTATTTGAATAAAATAACCACAAAAATACTTATTTCAGGGAAAACATGAGACGAGATATGGAGCAATTTACAAGAGTTCAAACCTACCTTTATTCCTTACTGAGTAAAACTGTGAAAGAGCTATATTTTAATCTCATTTCTTGAACAAATATTACGTACTAGTCAACATTGTATGTAATATTAAACACAACGAATCGCATAACGGTAACATTAAGAGTACTAGTTCGATTGATATTTTTAATTTATAAGGACTATATTTAATATCAGGTAGCTATTTTATAAGAAATGAAACCTGTGAAAACACTAGTTTGCTATACCTAACATCGGATAGGAAGTTATATCATCTCAGTATATTTTAAATAAACCATATTGGCATAAAATGCTATAATCAATATCGTAAAAATAAACAATATATTTGTAATATCCTAATGAGTAGAAAAATTAGATTTCCTGACTTATTTTAGGTCGCTTCTTCAGAGAATATATTAATTACTTATAACAATCTACCCAATGCTCAATTTATTCGAAATTATCAAATATCGTAAAAAGTTTGTAACTCATTTATTTGAACACATAAATGCTGGTACAAGGAAGCACCAAAATATATATGCGCAACAGAATGAAAATGAAGTTGTGAAGTAGATAAAGGAAGGCGTGCATAATAAAAAAAGAATAAAAACGGATATAAATTAGTGAGTGTGAGTGAAATAATAATAATAAATGAGAAAAACAGTTCAATTACGAAAAATACAACCAGAAAAAATTCTTTCGGTTAAAGGAGTTACTCTCACTTTTAAGGAAAAAAGTTACATCACGATCACCGCTGGCTTCTATTCTGAAACATTTCTGATAACATCTCAAGCCACTTTGTTACACCATTTCTAGGACTCCAACCAGGAAGTCGTGAATGACTAACAGAAGCCAGTTCTGTACAGCTTTCTTTCACATTACAACACCACATCATAAACTGACCACATCTCTTTTTCCAACCAGCCCCAGCGTCGGAAAATAATGCACGACGAGGAATTCTCTGAAACTATAATCGTAGGACATGTCCAAACCATCGAAGCCGACGTTCCAAGATCGTGACACCAATTGTATTATCGTCGCTGTACCCGAACACATGATGCCGAACCTCTACATTACTAACATGGTGTTGCCTTTGGGTGTCAGCGATCCTTTAGAGATAACGACGATCAAATACAGAGAGTCGTCTAACATCTTCAACTCGGAGAGGCCAGGTTTCACAAGCTTAGGGCGAAACTACTCTCACCGACGCACTGTAGATCCGACGTCACAGCATGACTAGCATCACGGAAGCGCTAAAAATGGCCCAGATTGGCATAAGCCGCTCTGGCTTTCACTATACGTGGATTGATCTCTGCACTCACGCCACAACCAGGACTTATGCAGCTATTCAGATACACGAACTTCCAGTGAATCGCAAGCGGCCCTGATGTCAAGAAACACCACGATTGTTGGCCTGTAATAAGTATGACGGTGTTCTAACATTTGGCGGATGATGAAGATATGATCAATACACCCTCAACTAGAAAGAAAACCAGCCTAATCCCAGCGAGTCAATCTCGGGTTTTGGACAATCTGCGAAGTATGAGGGAAAGCAACAATTTTTTAACAATCGGAAGTCTACTTGGGTGACGTAAACTCTTTTAAAATTAGAGACAACTATCGACTCATTTAACGATCTTGAAACACTCTCTAATCGCCAGACGCTCGTAAACAACTTAACCAGAAAGTCGCTAACATTTAAGAAGTACCAAAGGAAAGTCATGCGGGCCTGCTGATTTGTAGCGCTTCAAGAGTCAGAGTTCCTTTAGAACTTTCCCCCCGTTATGTGGTTCAGTCGTCACTGGCCATGGAGAACAAAACAGTCTGATCGATGATGCCGGGGTGGAAGACCAGTTGAACTGCCCCCCGGAAATCTCTGCCCATTGTCCAAGACGTCGACAGATGTTAGTGGCTGGCATCCTGTCATCTTCACAGATTGTTTTACTCACACCAGACTTATTGCTGCCAGTGGTTCGGATGAGTTGAAAGAGCCTTCGGCAGTTACCAGAGGCAGCTGCCACTTCCAACTCATTGGCCGACCACTAGGCTTCTCGGTTTTTACGCAAGGTTTGTTCAATTTTATTACGTAACTGTCGTCGATTGTGGCCAAACTCACGGTCACCCAGAGTAGACCGACGGGCTTCAATGAGTCGTAAAGAGTCTGAAAAAAACGCAGTTCTTATAAGCTGGACGTTTCGTAAAGTCGCAAGCAACTACTCGCCATTTTCATAGCGCCATACAATTGCAACCAATGCACATCTATACACTTCGGTGGGGTGGTAGCTAGCCCTGAACCTAGCTTGGTTTGATATCTAATTTCAATAGACGGTACAATCAACCTACTGACATCGATTCGTTTAGGACGACAAATTTGTTGGGCACTGAAACGTAAGGTGACATTAGCGCAAATGAGGCCATAATCAGAATCCAGATAGGTACTCAAAAACGAGCGGCAGTCTCATATACAACCACACCAGTGGTAGCTGATCACAATGTGATCAATCTGGGTCCAGTCTTGAGATGAAGAGGGAGGACGCCAGGTAGCACATCAGCGATGACTGTGCCGATAGTTAGTGCTAGCTAGAAACAGGTTGTGGTCTGCGCACAGTTGCAGTAGACGGTCCCTGTTATCTGACCTACGACTAACGAGTTCCGATTAGCCATTTGAACAACTCTCCACTGTGCCCAAAACCCCAACCTAAGCGTTCAAGCCTCCGGCTAGTACTACAATATCTGTCGAAAGCACTTTCTGTAGAACACTTAACTGGTAATAGAAGTTATCCTTGGTCGCATTCGGGCTGCAGTCTGTCGGGGCGTAGGCAAAGATAACGAAAAAACATTGTTCCTCATGCCGATTTCTCACTTTGATAGAGTTTTTTAATCTGACAGCACGTAATCGACTGTTTATGGGGATCCAATCGACTAATGCTGCCTCAGCTCCAGCACATGGTACGACACCAACACCAGCAAAACCAGACAATAAAACAGGGTTTCCAGATAAACGCATGTGAAACAGACTTTTCGAAGCGGCAGATGAAGAGCGAATATGTAACTGTTCGTTGTAGTCTTGAATACGGGTCTAGGATAGACAACAGATATCGATGTTAAGACATCCTAGAGAGTCACACCTGTGTTTTCCGATCTGCCTTAACGTGTGAACGTTGAAGGAGGTTAGTTTAAATGGTATAGGTGGTTTTAGAAAAACTGGTTCGGAATTTGTATTCGGCGGTAGTCTTGAACTTTCGACCAGCCAGTAACTTGACATCGTTTAGAAAGGACATGTATAAGTTGAAGAACAAAAGAATATATAAAATGGGGATAGAGGAACAGATAAGTGATGCATCAAAAAGTAAAAACGTTTGTTAACAAATAGTTTTGAGTATGATTTGCGAGAGTGAGAATTAAACAGTGAGTTGTTTTTTCAGTTGCAGTCATAATTTAATTTGTGTGTGCTGGGATACTACCCGGGTGCCCAATTCAGTCAGCCAGCAACAAAGTAGAACTTTGTACCTACGTACATCGAGTCGCCGTACCACATTAGCACAGAGATACAACTTTCGATTCAAATCCCATAGTGGTAGAGGTGGTAAAAGTATAAGCAGTAATCGAAAAGATTAGATGCCCAAAACTAGGCAGATGCTTTCTTTAGGGAGCTACTCCCCGAGTTTAACCAGAACACAACCAAGAAATATTTCTTTCAGCTAAGAAAGTTCATTTCACGTCTGTAAAGAATGGATAGGGAGGCTACAGTAGGTTCATAATTCGCTTTTATTACGAGCCATATTTTAGATCCACGGTACATAAGACAGTAACCACGGTATCGAGACAGACCAATAATTTCCAGTTCCGTAGAACTATTTTCCATACTACAGCTCTACGGCATGAAATGATTATTTCTCAGCCTCGAAGTGAGAAAAGAATCCATGGTGTAGAAGCCATTCAGATAAAACTCAATAAACATGCCCAAGCCACCGAAGTGTGTTTCAGGATGGTGGAACCAATCAAACAACCATCAATCCGCAAGAACACACAGTGTTTAAAGATGACTCTATTGATCAAGCAAGTCTGAATATTACACAAATGTTGCTAGGTAACAGATAGATAAAGAAATTATGCATTTTCGTTTGTGTTATTTTCAATCCTACTTTATTGCATAGTTAAATATGAATGTTTTTCAGACTAGATTTCCCATGTTCTTAGGGTAAATTCTTCATATTTGCCTCGAATATCCTCATAATCCACATGAAGGTTATGTTTTTTCTTTGAGCATAAATAATTAGTTGCTTTTGAAAGGACCAATGCTGAAAATATTGATCTACAAATCAATTTTCAAGATACTAAAGCGATAATATGCGCATTTTTAGGCTAGATAGTGACTAAAATAGGCCCGCAAAACTTTTTTCCTTGAATAACTACTGGTTTTTAAGTACCTTACAAATTTAGGTGAATTGTGACTAACCATCGAACAACGTAAGTCAGATCCCTCTTGTTGACCGACATAGGGATTAGCTGAAAGATTAGGATAGATTAAATAAAAACGTGATTTTTTTCCAGGAATTAACTGACTGTTGGTTGAGTCATTTGGGTAGGAGAATAGTATCGAGTTGGGAACACTAGGTATGAAGGTTTTAGATCGATCACTCAAGCAAACGAATTTATCCGCTATCTTTCTCTGAATCTTTAGTTTCAGCACTATTTTATGTCTCATTTCCTCATTTCATTTCTTCCTCAAAATCATATTTTCTATAGCCAGTTTTACTATTGTCGGCATTATTACTTTTTCAAACCATGTTGATTTTATATAACTTTACAGATGTGGCGTGACAACCAGGACCAACAAACACATACTTTGCAGCATATTGACTGATCGACTGGACATTTCAGTCCTCCTGCTTTGATGTGAAACCCCTGCGATGTGAATCAGGCTCCTATGATGGACCTCAGAAATTTGTGACCGTATAAGTGCCTAAAACGTGGGGACTGCTTTTGGGAATACGGACACTGGAAGATTCATCTCTAGAAGTTGGATGCTGAAGTATAAGCCTACAAAAGCGCAACCTCACAATACTTTTGAGGCTGTGCCAACCAGGCACAGATTGAAAGGTAGTGTATGCTACTGGCCGAAATCCCATCCTCTCTTTTAAGGAACAACTAAGATTATGGCTTTAGTTTCTAAAAGAAATACATGTGTACATATATTCTTGATTCAGGTATTCGCAAAAAAGGTTTTTTTATACCTACATTACACACCGAAGTATTTTTAAACTCCTGTTTTGTGTGGTTTCGAAGTGGATTTCAGACAACAACAGTTTGAAATGTTGCGTGGAGATATAGGGTAAATTTATAGCAATTTCGTTTACTAGGGTTAAAATGATTAATTTTTGCGATGGCATACACCATGAAAGTTGCTTTTTGTAACAAACCATTTCGAATTGGGAAAACCGTTACATAAGACGACAACAAGATTTATTACAATTGGCGACTATATATTTGGTGGAAAGGATTTTGGTCTTGCAAAATCCCCTTTCAAAGCGGAACTAGATTCAGATAAATATCGCTTTCACAGGCTGTATTGAAAGCGCATCCAACAAATTACTACAATCCTTTAATAATTTAGGTTATCTGTACAACATGATCTGATGGATGAACTCACTGAGAGCCAACTAAATGGAAATGAAAACTAGTTACGATCATGATAAGTTTATAAAAAAATGTCATGAAAAATTCAACAGCGACAGTCTAGGCTTCTACAAAATTGGTAGCTTCATCATAAAGCCGAATATTTCAGAAAGATAGAATGCATTACCTTAACACTAAATTATCTGCCTGAAACCTGGCCTTGAATTGATGCATTTCAAGTTGTCACTGATTGTGCGTACAATATCTACAGTCGCAGTTCTGAACAAGTCATGGGTTACTTTTCCGCAAGAAGATGTAGCCTAAAAATTATTTTCATCAGTATTATCAAACATGGCTTCTAGATAGGAACATATTGTTACCGCACATTTATCAAACTTTTGCTGCGTTCTTACGCAACGAAAGTAACATTACTGATCGAAAGAATCTATTCTGGGCCATACGTTTGGTAGATTACTATTTTTCGTATTTCACTCAATTTAATAGTTAATTGTGGTTTTGCCTCAGCGTACTATACACGAAAAGGCTTGTGGAGATAGACCTGAAAAGCTTATTTTGTAAATAGTTTTTAATATTATTTGTATTTATTTCGTCAATCTTTCACTGTATGTACATTTATCATTAAATAACTGTACCTGTTGTTTAAGTGAACGACCTTGAACACACTTTCCGTCGTGTAACTACATAGCGTGACATACGATTGCTTGTTAACAAATACATTGCTACACACGTATCCCTCGTTCTATTTTCGTTTGTGGTTGAGTTAACTGAAATCTGAATCAAATACTACCTACATTTATAGACTGTGAGTAGGAATATACCATACTTTACGTTGGATTACACTAGTGAAGAGTTCGTTAACCTGATTGGAATTACCAAGCATTTATAATTGTGGATTTACAGTACCAGACTAAAGCTGAACACGCATCAATTTGGTGAACCTAAGTAAAGTCCCAATTTTTTATTGTGTTTGTAACAATTAACTGGTATATATTAATATTACTATTGATCTTTAATGACTTTGTTGATACTTTTCACGTTTATACATCGTCTGGTTCACCACAGGCTAGTTCAGTTTATTTCATCCGTTTATATCCATTTTTGCTCGCTTTAAGTGTGCTTTTTAGTGTATTTTCGTAAGGTCTTAGGCTTTTACTAGCATCTATAGCACAGTTTACGTCAATATAGTCATGAAAAATTCATGCAAACGACCTGGATGCCGTTTTGCTGTTACATCTAGTATGCAGTGCGACAACTGCAAAGGATGGTTCCATGAAGCGTGCACAGATCTCACGGCAACTGCTTACAATAGACTCAGCAAGTCGGATCATAAGTGGGAATGTGTTAAACGCAGCACAGATGCTGTAGTCTTGCTGAGTAACATCATTGTTCTATTGACAGCTCTGCGGAGTAATTTGTCGTCAAACTTGGAAAAAGACAGTCATAAAACGGGTAGACAAACAAGGGCGCGCAACGAGAACAAGAATAGGAATGTCGACAGGCCTATCATCGATGGAGCGTGCATTAGCGTTAATGATGAAATGTCGAAACTCAGCACCATCATTACGTCAACGGTAATAGACTCCGTCAGTAAACTCGGGTTTCCCTCCTAAGGGTCCTTGAATGCAACAGTGGTTCCCAAAAACGCTGTACATGATTGGATCCACGTTGACAGAGCCAAAAAGAAACAGACGTCACTGTCCAAGCTTATCTGGTGATTTGGTCTCACAGTCTACCCCCAAGAATGTCCGTCCTGTCATCACAGAGCCTAAGATTCAGAAACGTGCTTTGACCTCCAAACAACAAGGTGCTGAACCTGAAAGCACTGGAAAACTTGTGAAAACAATAACGGTTCATGATGACTCTCTCATAATCATGAACCTCAAAGACAACCCTGACCTTCTACTCATTTTGCAGGACAAAATTGACAGGTTGCTCTGAGGTGAATTGAACAAAAAACTTGAACTTCCTAGAACACAGCCTTTGCCGGTCACACGGAATCTATGCATCACAATCACCCGAGGCTACTTCGTGTAACACCTAAGAATGCTACAGACGTAGAGGATGTCCTTCTAGCTAGTCATTTACTGGAATCTGATGGGAACGTAGGAATACTGGTCGACATATCGTATTCTGAGCGCAATCTCAACCGGAACATCCCTAAAGAATCTAGCGAGAAGTTTTTCCGCGGACGAAACACGGACCTTAGTCAAGCAGACTCTGATATTAGGGAATGGAAATTCATCCAACAGTCCTTGAGGCTCAAAAACATACTGACTCAACATGAGACGAGACTAGCGAAGAAAGACGGTGGTTCTAGACCCCTGCTAATGGGGGTAACTTTCCCATCCTTCAACATGGCGGCTGTAACTTTGGAAGCATTTAGTGCCAACATACGTCAGTTGCCAACTGGAATCCACATGCACCCGGATAGGCCATATGATGCCAGGAACAAGCACAAAGGTAAGTCGGAGTTGATCATTCCAGTTGTGGACTGTCTTTGTGGTAAAAAACGTTTAAAGGACAGGGCCTACCAACTCGGCAAACCTTATATAGGTAGGCCACCTGTCCATCCACGTAAGGCTAATACAGGCAAACCGGAAGAAGCTTACGCGTTTCAGAT